GGGCAAAGGTGGGCCTGTGGAGGCCCAGAGACGCACTAAGGGAGCACCTGAAACGGGCACCCACCGGGCCCTCACAGCAGGCTGTGGAGTGCAGGAAACACCCAGCTGGGGTGCTCGCCGGGCTGATCCTGCCGCCCTAACACCGCGCAGCGCCTGGGATGTTTGCGGCTGTCACGACGGGGCTGCCCTAGAGAATGACCCGGCCCCAACGCCCACAGTGCCGAGGGGAGAGACCTGGTTCTAGAAAGAGTCCCTCATGCAGGTTCCCGCTAGACCCATGGCTGCAGCTTCAGGAAACAAGCAGCTCATGACTGAGGGCCGGCTGTCCGAGGGAGGGCCCAGGCCAGGGCGGGAGCTCCCCAAACTGCCCCCGTGCAAGTGTGAGAGCAAAGGTGGAGGTGGGGCACTGGTGGGGCAAGAGGCGCACAGGGTGGCACGAGGGGTCCTGGGAGCTATCGGCACTGACCTGGGCCCTCCCGGCCCGCTCGGGTTAAGCTACGCGAGCGGCTGGCTTCAAGGCCAGCCCGTCCATGTGGGTGATCCCCGAGACGGTGCGGCCTGGCACACAGCACGGTCAAGTTTCTGTAAAGACACCAGTCTCCCAGCGTGGCCCCCTGAAATGACACCCAAGGCCTGTTCTAGAAGCAACGAGGAAGGGGGCCTGCACGTGTCCCCAGGCACCTCCCCCAACCTCAGCCCTCGCCACCCCACCGTCCCCCCACGAAAGCCCCCAGTCTTTCCGGAATTCTCTGCCTGGGATTCTTAATCTCAGCCTACTCCCCAGCCAGCTGCCCCGCGGTCCCGGCTGGGTCACCCACTGGGCGCCCAGCAGAGCTCTGCCACGTGCCTACCAGCCAAGCTCTGGAACCACAGCGAGCAGAGCCCCCCATGACGGGCACGGCTGCAAGGGGGCACCGCAAACACTCACCAAGGCCCCACAATGAGCGACGTTGCCCTGCAACCCTACGTCCTGCAGGGGGCTGGCGGGGGAGCGGCCTGGCCCCCAACACCAGGCAGGGCTGTCCCCTCATTCAAGAGGGCGGAAGTTCCACTTTTGGCTGCATTAGGCCTTCGTTGTGGTGCGCGGGCTTCTCGTGGCAGTAGCTTCTCTTTGTTGCCGAGCACGGGCTCTAGGCTCACGGGCTTCAGTAGTTGTGGCGCACGCACTTCAGTAGTTGTGGCACGCGGGCTCTAGAGCACGGGCTCAGTAGCTGTGGCACACGGGCTCAGTTGCTCCGTGGCTTGTGGGATCTTCCCGGACCAGGACTCGAACCCGTGTCCCCTGCATTGGCAGGTGGATTCTTAACCACTGTGCCACCAGGGAAGTCCCCAAGAACAACTTTTTAAGACTGAGGTGCATCACAGACCAACGTAAAGTTGTGATACATACCGTATATCTATTTCTACCTTTTTTTTTTTTTTTTTTTTTTTTGCGGTACGCGGGCCTCTCACTGCTGTGGTCTCTCCCGTTGCGGAGCACAGGCTCCGGACATGCAGGCTAAGCGACCATGGCTCACGGGCCTAGCCGCTCCGTGGCATGTGGGATCTTCCCAGGCCGGGGCATGAACCTGTGTCCCCTGCATCGGCAGGCGGACTCTCAACCACTGCACCACCAGAGAAGCCCCTATTTCTACCTTTAAATAGCGATCCTACCATGACCCAGGATGACCCGGGACCAGATCCAGCACCTGGGTGCCCCTGCCCGCCACTGGCAGGAGAGGCTCCGAGCAGCGGGAGGACGGTGGGCAGCTCTCTGCTCTCCAAAGGACGGGCTGCTGGCGGGGGCACCGGGGGAGAGCAGTCCCGCACCAGGGGTGCTCAGGCACTGCAACATCTGCACTTGCTGGGACCTCCTGCCGCCCCGCACGCACTCTGCACGGGCTCTGCAGGCTGGGTCTCCGCGGTGAGGGGAGGGGCTCGCCCTCTGGAATTTAAGCACCGCGGTCTGTTCCGAGCAACCTGGCTTCTGCCGCTCACTGAAAGGGGCTTACAGGAAGGGCTGCGTGACAGCAGGGCGGGCGCACATCCGTGGACCGTGCCGGGTACCAGGGGACGCATGGGGTTCGGAGAAGGAAGTGCTGCTACCAGCCACTCTCCCGGAGAGTCCCACCGACCCTCTGCATGGAGCCCCGCGCTACAAAGGCGGGTGTGGACTCAGCCTGGACCAGAAGCTCCTGTGGAAGACAGGGCAGGAGGGAGGGGCTGAGGCCAGGAGAGGAGATGGGTACTCGCAGCCCCTGTGGGCCAGAGGAGCCCAGGGAGCATAGGTCTTCCTACTGGAGGTCACTCAGGCCTCACCTCCTCATCTGTAGGATGGGCACTTGGTCCATCGCCCAGCACAGGCCCCCCAAAGCTCCCAAACGGGGATGGGCAGACACGGAGCTGCCCGAGTTAGGGCCTTCCGCACCTACCAGGTCTCGGGCCTGGCGGACCCTTCCTCCACGGCGGAAAGATTCCCGACCCGACGGCCAGAGCTCTCCCGAGCACACCCCGCTGCCTAGATCACGACAGCAAGGCCCCCATTGGGCGTGACAGCACCAGCTGGACCCCAGACACTGACCACGACCCCAAGCCGCACGCACCACCCATGCTGACCCACCCAACGCCCCTGGCCATGACACCCCGCTACCAGCTCCCTCCCCAGCCTGCAGCTTGGTAAGGCCTCCCAGTAAGGCCTCTGGGGGGAGGGGGGGCAGGCAGCAACCCAAACCCACAACAACTGTGAGGAGAAAACCTGCTGCTCTGAGGTGGCCCAGGCAGCACTGGAACAAGGAGTTCCTGGTGCTCCAGGACGTCCAGGGGAGGTGCTACTTCCCCAGGTACAACCTTGCGGGGACTGGGCCCACAATGAGGGCTCGCTCAGACCCACCAGTAAACCCCCAAGGACACAGGTTGCCCCTGCAGCTGTCCGGAACGCCTCTTGGCTGGCTGGCTTCCCCAGAGCTGGGACGAACAGATAGAAAGCTTTCAGTGTAAAAAAAAAAAAACCAACAAACCTCACCTACTTCCTCTTGCAATCCAGAGGTAATTACTATGTAGCTGAAAGGAGGAGGTTAAGATGGAACCAGCAGCAGCAGTTCAGAGGAGTCTGTGTACACACGGCTCTGCTGTCACATCTCTGAGCCAGGGAATGAGATGCCTGTCCCCAACCCGCTTCAGAAAAATTTAGAGGAACTCGAAATCAGACCAGAAGACCCAACTGGCAACTGCACACGGAAAAACCAGAGCCGGGCTGGATGACCGCTGCAGACCCCAGGGTTTGGCCCACCCCTAGGGTGGGGGTCCAGCCAGCTCCTTCCCGACCTCCCTCCCTCCCTCCACAGGCAAACGCAGCACATACAACTGGCCCCCAGCCTGGGAGCTGCGCCCCACCAGCTGGACCCCCGGCCCACACCCACCACCCCCAAGTGGCCCTCCCATTCCACTCCTCAGAGATAGGGCCACAGACACCACCGCAGCCGGGGAACTGAACACCTGGGGCCGCGGAGACAGTGAGGCGGGCCTGTCCAAGCCTGTGTGCGCTCCTGGGGGCGCTACAGTCAACCCCCCAACCCACCTGGCCACGCGCCTGCGGAGCCACAACTTGGTGGAGACGCAGCAGATAAAAACGAACTCCTGGCGAGGACCACAAACTTCCCCCTTTCAAACCGGCGGCCCAGCTCAGCCGGTTCCCCTCAAGCACAGCCTCCACCTCCTTCCAATCAGAGCCATCCCCCAGCCCCCGGTCTTGCCTCCAGGTCAGAGCCTTTGTGCTCTCCCACGGATCTCTCACATCCCTGAACCACAGGAGCCCGTGGGGGCCCGGAAACGCCAACTGAGCCTGTCCGTGTCCCCTGGGGCAGGGACGGGGGACCCCCAGAAGCCCCTCAGGATGGATGTGTGAACAACCCTGGAGTCCCAGATGCTGGCCTGGCCAGGGTCCCCCTGTGGAAGGGGTTGGGGAGAGAATGCTAGGCTCCACCTATGTGCACAGAGCTCTCCAGGCCGTTTCCTGCAAACAATGCCATCCGGAGGCCAAGGGACTACCCCAGCTGCCCAAAGCCTGCCCAGGACGACGCCTCGGACGTCACAGCAGTGCTCTCAGCCCCCAGCCCGATAGTGAACACACTTCCCCTGAGAAAACAGGGGCAGAGGAAACAGGGGAAGCACAGGGCAGGGAGGGGATGAGTGTGGCTGCTGGGCACGCAGACATCGCACTCCCCTCCCTGATCCGAAGTGTTTCCGGAAAACAAAGCCGGTGGCGAGAGCGGAAGGGGGAGGCGCAGCCAGGCGAGAGCCGGGAGTTCCTGAGCAGCCCACAACAGGTCCCCCAGACCAGACCCCTACTGTTGCTCCCCTTCCCTGCTCCCAGCTCCCCGCTAAAACCTGCAGGGCCACAGAGGGGCGAGTGTATGCGCCAGCGTGGGGAGGAGCGATGGGCCCAGTAGAGAGAGCTGGAGGGGTGGGAGGACGCGGGGAGCGGACCGTGGGCTTGAGCGCTGAGGGGTGGTGAAGGGGGGAGGTGGGGTGGGGCTGAGGGACAGTGGGGGACACTGAGATCTGGAGTGAGGGAACAGTAGGGTCTGGAGTGAGGAATCAGGAAGGACAATGAGGTCTGCAGTATGGGGATTAGTGGGGGTGAGAGGTGACAGGGCCTGAGTTCGGGGGTCGCTGGCGGCGGCAAGATCAGGGGTGCAGGGGAGAAGTGCTAAGCGGTTGGGGTCTAGAGTGTGGGGGTCAGTGAGCTGGAGGGGCAGTGGGGTCGCAGTGCAGGGGGCAGTGGGGTCGCAGTGCAGGGGGCAGTGGGGAAGCAGAGTCGGCAGTGCAGGGGTCCACAGGAAAGGGTCAGGACTGTGAGGTCCGCGGGGTGCGGGACACGGGATGCAGGGGTCTGCGGAGGTCCGAAGTGCGGATGTAGGGGCTGCGAGGTGCCGGAACTGGGAGGTCCTCGGGATATAAGGGCGGCGTGGTCCGGGAGTCCGCGGGGGTGGGGCCGCCGACAAGGGCGTCCGCGTCGTTACCTGACGGCCTCCGCCGTGGTCGTGGCCGTGGCCCCGCGGCCGGGCGGCCGGGCTGGGCGGCCCGGGCTCCCTCAGCAGCACGGCGCGGGCCCCCGCTCCGGACCCCGTTCGCGCTCCGGCTCCGGCTCTGGCGCCCGCTCGGGCCCCCACTCCGGCGCCGCTGCAGCTGCCGGCCTCCGCATGTTGGGCGCGGGCTGTCCCAGCCGCGCGGGCGCCCGGCTCGCCCCGGTCTCGCAGCGTCGCTCGCGGCCCGCGTTTACGCCGCCAGCGTCGCGGGGGAGGGCCCTGCGCCCACTGCGCAGCGGCCGGCGGCCCTGGGGCGCGCGCGTGACGTCACCGCGCGGGGCGGGGCCCGGAGGCGCGCCCGCCGCTTTGCGGCAGCGGGTGGCGCCGCGCGACGACCGCCGCGCTTTGCGGCCGCTCCAGCGCGGCCGGGCCGCAGCCCCCGGGACCACTGGAGGCGCGCGGCCGCGAGGGCGCGCACGGGCGGGGTGAAGGAACCGGACCCCATCCACCCTCCCGGGAGGCGGGGATCCCGCCGCCGGCCCTGGCCCACCCTGCCGTTGCCATGGCGACGCGTGGCCGGTCGCCCGGACACCGCCCCACCGCGCTCCTGTGACGTCAAGGTCTCGCCACTTGACGTCACGGCCGGGCGGTGCCGCGGGGCGTGGTCAGCGCGGGGCAGGCCGACTTCCGGCTCGGGCGGCGGGAGTCGGCTGGGTGGGACCGGCAGGGGCGAGGACTTTAGGTCGACGGGCGAGAGGCTTGGCGGCGCTTCTCCGCGTCCTAAGAAACAGTGACGTAAGCGAGGAGCCAAGGAGGGGGTCACCCAAGGCACTGGTCCAGCTGGGCCTTCCGGCCGAGCACGGGCCCTGGCACGCAGCTGGCGCTCAACAAGTGTCGTCTGCAGAGTGCTGGCTCAGGCACTGTCAGTCCACCCCGGACCGAGAGGAAGCTTGGGGATGGGGCGACTGGCAAGGGCCCTGCAGTGAGTGTCTGCTCCCCCCGGGACAGGGCCTCCTCCGGCGGGGCATTTTTACCGTTGGAGGAGACTCACTCATTGTCGTCTTTATTAAGTGCCTGCCAGCGGCTCTGAAAATAGAATGGTGAGCTAGGCTCTTGGCATGGATTCCCAGCGAGTCCTAAGTGCTGAGCCGGGGGATGGACAGGACGGTGAATAAATGGACACGACGGTTTCAGATGGTGTTACAAGGTGACTTGGGGCAGAGTGACCAAGGGCCAGGCCCTAAGGGCTAAGAGCTAGATCTAGCAGACGGGAAGAAGATTTCCATGGTCTCAGCAGCCAAAAACGGGGGAGGAGAATTAAACTGGAGGGGGGCGGCGAAATGACAACGGTTTAGGGCTTGTCCTGCCCCAGTCCTCCTCCTTCAGCCCCACTTGCAATGTCACCGCCTCCGGGAAGCCCAAGCCACGTTCCCCTGTTGTCCTTTCTCACTGCATCCTCACCCTCTCCAACCTGAGCCTTAACTTTGTTTCAAATCAAAGGCTTCCACCAGCTGTGCAAAGAACATGGACTGAATCTGTTTTGCTCACTGCTGTGCCTGTAGGCACCTACTCTTGACGTTCAAAAAAAATCTGCCCACAGGTGCTCAACTCCCAGGGGAGCAGGAGGCATGGTGGCCTCTCCTCCAGATGTATTTGAGCCTTAAACCCGAGCTCCAACCTTGTCCCTGTAAAAGGCAGGGGGGCTTGTGCAAAGGAAAGAATGCAGAAAGGCCACGGGACTGGGGTTGTGCCAGCCAAAGGCTCTGTGACTATGAGTAGGTCACTAACCCCCTCGGGTCCTCTGCATCTTCGTTTGCAAGTTGTAACTAACGATAGCCCCCTCGGGTACATCATGAGAATCCATGAATTAGTGAATAAAAGACCTGCCAGCATAGGACCTTCTGCCTCAAATGGACATATTTCTCTCTAATCACTTGGGATCTTTGAAAAAGCAAACAGCCTTTCATGCTCCCTCTTTTTTAACCCACTTCAAAGGTGCACCACATGTTCCTGCTTCCTTTTGGCTTTGATCATGGGGACACCATTTGGGGAAGCTGGGGTAGGAAACAGCCCATTTGGGGCTCTCGATAAAATAATAAGAACATTGCAAAGAGGATGAGCTAGTCTCCACATTGCCCCCTCCCCCCACCCCTACCCATCTACCAGGGAAAGTCGAACAACATCCCAGCCTCCCAATAAATCCCAAACAGCTGTAGATTTCGGGGAAGAGACAAGCAGGAAGCACCCCTTTCTGTTCCTTTACCCTTGTAAGAGGCAGGTGCATGGAGAGACCCCAGGACAGAATCAGGGCTGCGTCCTGGTGTCCGGCACCAGCCCACAGACACAAGCGGGTGCCCCGATTAGCTTTTGTTGAATTGAATGGAATTAGCCCTCCCTGCAGCCAGGCCTCTGCCCCAGTGGGGCAGGAACTTGGACACATACATTTCCATTTTCGAGCTGTGGAAACTGAGGATTACAGAGGCCAAGTGACGTGCCCAGTGTCTCCCAGCTTCAAACCTCCAATGCTGCTGCCTTCCACCAGTGGGTAGAGGGTGGGCCCAGCACCACCCCCCCTCAATCCCAGTGGCTGTAGGCGAGGCCTGGCGCCATAAGCTCACCAGTGATTGGGACAAATCAGATTTCTCTCTTTGGTCATTGTGAGCTATGGAGGGAAAACTGAGGCCAGAAGACACCAGGAAGAAACCAAGGCCTTGAGGATGCAGAAGCACTCCGGAGCAAACTGTTCACCCCAGGGGCCTCCCCATCCTCTGAGAACAGCCCCCAGCAACCAGGTCTGTACCATGTGACTTCCCAGCCATCTCTGATTGGCCCAGCATGAGCCAATCAGATCCTCCTCTAGGACTGCTCAGCGGATGGAGGCCAAGGTACATGACTTGTGTGAGATGTGACCCAGATGGTGGCCTTCTGCCATTGTGTGGTTTCTCTGGCATCCACCACCCCCCATTGTTGAGACACAGTGTAGGGTGACCAAGCACCCCAATATACCCGGGTCTCCTGGGACCCGGACCTTTCATTGCTAAAATCCCAAAAATCCCACCAAACCAGGAAGCCTTAGTCACCCGAGCATCGGGCATATAATGTCCTACCTGTCCCCAAGGAGCCCCCATGAGGAGCTCCTTCGCCCCACTACCGGGGGCCAAGGCCTGGGCAAGGTAGAGAGTTGGATAGCATCCGCCCAAATTCACATCCACCTGGAACCTCAGAATGTGACCCTTCTTGGAAATAGGGTGTTTGCTGATGTAATTAGTTAAGATGAGGTCATGCTGAATTAGGGTGGCCCTAAATCCAATGCCTTGCGTCCTTATAAGAAGAGGGACACATAGAGAAAACAGCCACATGAAAACGGAGGCAGAGACTGGAGGGATATGTCCACAAACCAAGGATACCTGGAGCCCCCAGAAGCTGGAAGAGGCAGGAAGGACCCTCAGAGGATAAATAGCTGATTTGAGCCACCCAGTTTGTGGTACTTTGTTACGGCCACCCCAGGAAACGCATACAGACGTGCACCCAGATTTAGCCACTGTTAGGAATTGTGGTCCCCAAAAGGTATGTTGAAGTCCTGAGCCCTGGGACCTGGGATGCAATCTTATTTGGAAATTGGGTCTTTGCAGTCGTGATCAAGTTAAGATGAGATCGCACTGGATTAGGGCGGCCCTGATGCAATGGCTGGTGTCCTTGTAAGAAGAGGGACATTTGGACACAGACACACAGGGAGAGGCCACGTAACCACAGAGGCAAAGATTGGAGTGATATGTCTACAAGCCAAGGAATGACAAGGATTTCTGGACCCACTAGAAGCCGGGAAAGACATGGAAAAGATTCTCCCTGGTGGCTTCAGAAGAAACCAGCCCAGCTGACACCCTGATTTCAGACTTCCAGCCTCTAGAAACAGGAGGGAATACATTTCTGCTCTTTTCTTTTTTCTTTTTCTTTTTTTAGGCCACGCCACATGACTTGCAGGATCTTAGTTCCCCAACCAGGGATCAAACCCAGGCCCCCAGCAGCAGAAGCGCAGAGTCCTAACCACTGGACTGCCAGGGAATCCCCAAATTTCTGCTCTTTAAAAAAAAAAAATTATTTATGTGGTTGCACTGGGTCTTAGTTGTGGCAGCACATTATTTGCAGCACACAGGCTCAGTTGCTACACAGCATGTGGGATCTTTGCGGACCAGGGATCAAACCCATGTCCCTTGCATTAGGCAGGCAGATTCTTTATCCACTGTGCCACCAGGGAAGCCCAGGTCTGCTCTTTTAAACCACGGTGTTTGTGTTAATTTGTTAAGCAGCCCCAGGAGACTAAAACAGCCACTGAACAGTCCTGTTCGGGATTTGGAGCCTGGAGCCAGCTCCCACCAGCTCACTCCAGGGGCGAGGCCGTCGTCCTACCCTCTCACCACGCAGGATGCTTTAAAAGATGATGTTCTATTAGCATCTCTTGGTCCTCACAGCCACCTTCACTCCTGGTCTGGGGTCTGATTCAGGGTCTCCAGCCTCTCACCAATTCCTTGGGTATCTACTAAATTCCTATATCAATTTACTCTGAAAAATCAATTCCAATGAATTCCTGGGCCGTCTCGAGACAGCCGGAGGTGGTTTCTGATGCTTGAGGCGAGATGCCCGGCTTACCCGATGGGTGAACAGAAGCCACGAGGCAGTGGGGAGACATTCTGGGTTGTGGGTGAAGGACCTGGTTGGTGACGGCTGGGGTCACAGGAGCAGAGATGAAGACTGGCCAGGTGACAGGACAACCCATCTGTGTGTGTGTCTGGGGACGGCTGTAACAAAGCACCCAGACTGGGTGGCTTCAACAACAGAGATCTATTCTCTCCTGGTTCTGGAGACTGGAAGTCCAAGGTTGAGGTGTCCCCCTGAAGGGGAGAGGGGAGGCCCTTCTCTGAGCTTCTGGTGGTTCCCTGGCTGTGGCAGCATCACTTCAACCACCCCCGGTGTTCTCTCTGCCTGTGTGTCTTGTCTGTGTCCAAACTCCCCCTTGGATAAGGACACCAGCCATACTGCGTTTGGACCACCCCATTCCACTATAGTCTCATTTTAACTAATCCCACATGCAATGACCCTATTTCCAAATATGCTCCCCGTGAGGTCCTAGGGTTTAGGACTTAAACATACAAATTTGGGGGGGGTGACGAGGAGAAACAATTCAACTCATAACAAGACACAAACACATTCCCCACAAACACACACACACACACGCACGCACGTCCACACACACAGACGCAGGCACACAGACCAGCACTCTC